TGGACAAACGGAACTACTACCTTTTTCCCCGCCACTTTCCTGGTTCTTTGAGATCTTCTTTGAGGGTTCTTTGCCACCTTTGCCGCGGTGGCGTCCCCTGCTGGGAGCTGTACTACGATCGACAACTGTTCTTCTATTACCTTCGTCTGCGGTGGATTCTAACCAAGAAAAAAAACCTAATTTGTAAAATTCTGATTTTTCGAACCTCCTAAATGCTAATAAATGAAAAGTGGTATAAAACATCGGAGGTTCAAAAAAATCTGTGATTGGCTGTAAACTTGGAAATCAGTTTTGGTTCAAACAGTCAGGATCGCAGGCTCAAAATATCTCCGCTTCGATAATATCTTTTTTTACTGTTCGTTTAACCTTTAAGGTAACGTAAAACACAACAAAAATTGCGCAACTTTTTTTTGCAACGTTGCTACAAAACGAGTTCTAAAGTGTGACGTCATAAAAAATATATTTGTGAAATTATGGGATTTGTCAGGGTATTCTGAAAGAACAACATCCAAGAGGACTACTTGCCAAAAACTAGCATTTCGGGGCAATTTGTCTCTGTGATATTAGCGCAGTTATGCTCCGATGACTCCATACAAATCCTTCTAAATTTGACTCAGTTCAGAACATTAGGAACCGAGTGTTTTACTAACCACAAATTACACCTACGTATTGCAACAAATCATGCTATTCAGGGTGGTAAAACGAGCATCATAGCTTGGACTTCCTTTGCAGCCATGTTGGAAAATAAGTTGAACCATTTTTGTTGCCCGTTTTATCGTAGCTTGAGGATTTATTAAAGTTGTGCATTCGCAAGTCAGTTTTTGCCCCCAAATGGTCTCGTCATGCTTCCATTTGGCTCGCCTTAAGGGATACAGGGTATAGCGGTCCTATTTGTTTCATTTTAAAGATATCTGTTACAACTGACACGTGCCTCCATGTGGTGTCACCTGCGACTGTGTTAAAGAAACATAATCTATTTTCTTACCTTTTATGCCATTTCTGCCTGCGCTGGGAAATTGTTCATCCTTAGCCGCCGTCTCAAGAGAAACCCAAGACACCAGAAATAACACCAAGACAATGAGGCGATAAATCGTTGATAGTTTCGTCTTGGTCATATTTATCAGTGTGTCTGCTAATAAAAAAACACTTGTTACTAGTTTACCGACTGAGATGGCAATAACTGCTATAACTCCAAAAATAAGCATTTGAAAACAATGAATTAACAGTTGGAATATTTCTTGATCTATTCAAAAATTTGATATTATTGTTAATCATCCAAAATGCTTATTGAAAATACTAGTATTATGGGATAAAAACTATCTAACTAATAGAAGTCAAATTGTAAATTACAATAATAGATTTTCTAGCAAACAAACAACATTATGTGGAGTACCACCAGCCACAATTGTTTTTGCCACGAGAAAATAAAATTCATATCTTCAAGCCGCGCGCCGTGCAATATCCTCTACTTACATGAATGGTTAGTTAGTTCTCTAATTACTAAATTAATACTCGTTACAGCTATATCCATTTTATAATCTTAAACATAAAGTTATTTTATAAGGCGGTTGACTCAATGATCGTCCGGGTGACATGAAACGGTCTTTGAGTCGGCGTTTGGTTTGTATGTAAGACCCTGAAGAAGGAAGGCCGTGCCTTCCGAAATATTGGTAAAAGAAATATATATTTCCGACTGTAAAATCAGCCTTGCTTTTAATTTTTTGTTTCTATATTTTCAGTTATAGCTGATTCAGAGATCCTTTATTGGGATTCGCGGTCCTTCTTTTTTTGTAAGTTGCTCCTTGATTTCAAAATTGAATCGCATTTTCCAATAAAACGAGAACGATCTGATTACGTCAACAAACTTTCGTGCAGTACATCATCTAGAAGAGTAAATCATTATAACTGGACTTCAACTACATTACGGCTTTATGGATCTTTATGAAGGACGAATGGGGGGGACTTAGTTTTCCGCACAGGGTTTCATGTCGCGTCGCAACTCCGCCCAGAAACCCAAAAGTCTTTTGAAAGCAAGTTTAGTTTTTAATTTTAAAAATTAAATGTCAGAATAGCAATTAAGCCGATTTTTCTCGGTCAAATTTTTCGACGGAAAATCCTAGCGTCCTGTCAACTGGTTATACTGGGGTCACTCTTAACTTATAGTTACCTGCCATTATTTAGCGATCGATTAATTAATGTAAAAAATTTGGTTAGAAACGGTGATGTCCCTAAGCCGTGTAGGAAGGACTAAACCCTTCTTTTAGCGTCTGAAATCACAGTAAACTTTCTTACGTTTTTCAGTTGCTTACAATGGCCAAATTAAATACCTTATCAGTTTACTGGTATTCGTCAATATTGGCCAGAGAACATAAATTGGGTTTATGTTTTCTTGTATTGGCAAGACTGAAAAGACTCCCTTGGTATTGCTTTACTATCTTTTAAAAAATCCCAATCACGTTGATTCAAGTATATTTTGTTTTCATCAGCTCTCCAAACACAGAATGAAATCAACTTTTAAAAAATGTCTTTGTGTCTAATGGAATCTATGTTGCTCCTATCGCTCCAATTATCCTCACGGTAATAAAATTAACATAATTCAGGAAGCCTACAGCGCTGTTATCAGTGTGAACTTCATGATTTCTTTGGGTTTCTGTGCCATTTTTATTCAGCATTTGATCATGATTCAAAATAACTGGCTAATTCATTTTAACAAATAACAATAAAAAAGAGACTCGAGAACAATCCTTGAAATTCGTACTTCGAGTTCTTAGTGTTAACGTGGGTAGATTTCAAGTTGTTAAAAAACCATATATTTTCCAGCTCAAGTATTTAAGTTAAAAGTCTTTTATTTTAAGAAAAAAGATAAAAAACAAACAAATAAACAAACCAAAAAACTAGGCATGCTTACCAACTGTCCAAACGTGTTTTCGTCCTCACCTCTTGATGGTTGGCGATGGATGGAATGGAGCTTAACAATGACATAACCCTGTTTTGACAGGGGAGGGTCAGTAATGGAAGAAGAGGTCCTTGAGACAGTTCCATATATGGGCTATATAGGAATGCTCTGCTACCATGGGTATGGTTTTAAAAACGATTAATCTGGTTTCGAGTATAGAATTTAGAGGAGTTTAATTTTGTCTAGCGCAGGGTAATATTTATTTTTAGAAATCTGTCAACCCAGGTTTATAAGTTGGCCAGCCCATTCAAAATGTCGTCAGTAGAGTTTGACAAGCCAAAAGGGTGATGTTTAACTCAATTCGATGTCATGTTGATTAATCTCAATTTGACTGATATTTAACTTTGCGTCTATTCAACCCCGGAATAATCGTGACAAACTAATCAACAACAACATCTATGGCAGTAAATGTGAATAAAAGAAAAGTTCCACTTAAAAAACTACACCATGATGTAATTTTAATCCTAGAAGGTGGACAGGTGTTCTGGCTCACTTGTTTATTCAAGTCATCACTATGACTGGTGCCTCTTTTTCTACTAATCTTTGCATTGTGTTATGGTTACAAATCGGCGTTTTTCCCTGAAATAATGCTTAATTCTTTCATGTATGTCTTTAGCCATCTTGTGGCAGTAACTCGAGAAACTGCCGTTGGGCTGAAACTCTTCATCCCCTTTCGAAATCCGCTATTGTCTCGTCACATCTCACCAAGTTTAAGGCTTTTTAACTTTACTGGTTACCAGTTATGACCTTGTGACCTTTTTGGTGTTCTATTCAATTGATGAATTTACTTTGTTCATTTAATAACCCTTTTCGGCTATTATAGGAAAATGAGGGACAAACTAAACAACGTGCCCGGACCTCTTGTTAGGTAATGAATAATAATAAGGAAAAGTCGAACGAAGAAAATGAAGAAGTTTGGATTAACTGTAAAGCATATCGAGTGGATGGTGTGCTAAATCACTTGGTGAATGGTGCCCCTATATATATCTACGAATCTTTAATAATATAAGTTCATTGCACAATTTCACCATGTTTAAGGTGCCAGTCTTTTTAATTGAATTATAATTAATAACTTTGTTAATTTTTTTTTTTTCGCTTTTTCAACATCAGGATAATAGTGGCATCTAATCAACACTCTTTATTGTAGGTTAAATGTGTATAACTGAAAATATTAAATTTGTACTCACAAAATTGGCAAGGAGTTTGAACTTTAAAAGCTATACGAAGCTAATCGACTTTTGATACTTTGGGGTAGGCAAGAGTGTGTTTAAGGAAGTCGTATAGATCGTATAGGGCCTCAATTGATCATGAAAGCAATTTTTTTTACATTGTTAAATACGAAAAGAGTTACCGCCTAACTCTATTTTCAAAAACTTTATTCAGTATTATGAACTATGATTAGTACGACTATATAATATATTTAGTTTAAGATTTACTGTAGCTCTGCCATTGATTTTCCCATGTGTAATTATGATAATATTTTGTTCTAATTATCTAACTGAGGGAGCCCATTCCTTATAAGCCCGGTGGCTTCTCTTGGGCTTCCTCGCCAAGAGAGTTTAAATAATTAGATTTTATTTGATTTGTACAATTTATGTCAAACAAAACAATAAACAATAAACAATTTTTTTAATATTGTATTCAAAATTTGACGATTTACTGAGAAGGTTTCGGATAGGCCGATCACTACGCTTTATTCCCGTTCAAACCAATTGCTTTGTGATAAACATATTTTCTTTTCTTTTCTCGTACTAAATTTATCATTTCTTACACAAATTTCACAATATAGTGTTAAAAGCTTTGCTTAATTTAGTACTACCAAGCGGGTGTTCCTGTCTGACAGTATCTTCAAATTTTTAACTCGAAAAGGGTGAAACTCAAAAATCAATAACCAGCTTCCCGAAATCGCACAAGTACGCCTAAGCCTGCTCGCTTCTATGATACAATTAACTTTCAATTGATTAACTTTTTCTGCCTTTTTCTGCCTACGTCGAGGTTAACACTGTATGAATGTGTCGTTAATGTTTGTATTCAGCGGTAATTTTTAATTCGAAACTGGACTATTCAAACGCCGGAACATTTGCGATAAACTATCAACGAAATTTCCGTAATTCCAAAGGGTGAAAACATGAAGAAAGAAACATACATAAAATCCAGCAAGGGCTGACTGTTGAGTAATTTAATCGCCAGCAAAAAAACAGTTTGGGAAGAAGATATGAAATATCGATTATTTTGGCGCATGCATTTTCAAAAATTCTGCAAAATTCCTCCATTGCCCCATTCCTCCTCGTTCTCTCCGAATAACATTCGATTTTATAGATCCCGACAAAATATTAATAATTGCTAACAGATGGCTGGATGGTTATTGGTTCAGCTTTCCCCTTCACTTAATTCACACTAACTCGTTCCTGCGCATGCTTAACGTGAAAAAAAAAAATCAAAAGTCGCGCAGTGCATGCAATTTGCATAACTCCTTTCCCGCTGATATCGATAGAGTTTTTATCAAGCCGATGACTTTCTTTTCTAGGTGAGTACGTCTTGTTCGCCGATTGTCCTCGTAAAACACGCAAGATCGATCGCTTCTCAACTCGTTTTGCAGCAATGTTGAAAAAAAGTTGCACGACTTTGTTGCACGTTTTACCGTACCTTTAATAATAGAGCCAAAACTGCAACAAAATCCATCGCGGTGTTACTGTTACGGACCTGGGGCCCAGCAAGATTATGCCCTCTCCCTACTATTCCTATAAAGCACCTGATCACAGTTTATTAGACTTGCGAAACTTGGTTTCACGATCTTATTTACCAGAAAATTTGAGGGCGTCGTAGCCTACAAACACACCCGTTTCTCCTCGCTCTTCACCGCTGGGGACGTTCCTCCGTGCGAAACGTCCCCAGCGACGAAGAGCGAGGAGAAACGAATGTTTTCGCAGGCTAAGGGCGTCGCCTTTATTACCACACGGTAGTACGCGTAATCTTTCCTTCTTTGTTTTGTTCCAAGCCGATAATGGAGAGCATAATATCGTAAGACTAGTTAGTTTTGAAGATCCATGTCCCCTCTCTTTTCCTTCCCGATCGTTTATTTCAGAATTTACTCGGTAAAAAAAACATGAATAGATTCACTGTTACTTGGAGGCAGCGCTCTTTCAAGTAAGCGACGAGTAAAGGCGCAATTTCATAGCGATTATGTAGTTCCAAGAGCCAAATGGCTCTTGATAGTTCCGATGCACCCGCTCGCGCTTGGGCTCTGTATTTTAGACATAATCGCCCTCACTGAATTCAATAAGGCTCAAAACAAACGCGGCCACAAATCACCATGAAATCGCCACTAATTTACAAGCGCGGCTTCAAAACACAACTACGGAAAATCTCTGCAAAAATCTCTGTGTAGTACGGGCTCTATTACCTGATGACCGATCGGTCAGTCGTCACGGAGTGCACTGATTTTGTGCCCGCCTAGGCCTAATCACTTTTGTCAGTGGTCGTTACCAGTAGTAGAGGGGACTATGGTACTACTACACTACGCTGTGTAAACTTCATAAGTTGTCCAAGGGGGTTCAGGCCGATGGGGTCTAACGCTAACTTTATCTTGTTATTCTTTCTTTTCCAAGCTCTTTCGGAACAACAACCTTTTCATCTCTGCCTTGTAGTATGGAATCCCCATAATGTACAGCCAGGAACTCAGCGCTGAGCCAAGCACCCCAATTGCAGAGGACATTCCATGTAGGTTAAAATGAAGCTCCGTGTAGGTGCCAAACACTCCAGACATTTGGACAAGAACGAATGGTGTCCAACAAACGACATAAATGACCGCTGAACAGAAGCACACCTTCGTGGTCTGCCACTCTTCAAATGACAGGGTAACTGTTGGCGAACTTTTTGAGCAGTATATTTGAATGTAGATGATGAAGGTCACAGTTATGGAGAGACCAAACAGCGGGATTGAGTAGCCAAGAAAAACCTGAATTTAGAACAACAATGCAGTAAATACTTTCATTTCTAGAGAAAATGTCAGTCGACTGAGGAGGCATTTAGTGCTGTCACGGATTTTCTACGCCAAAAAACGGCTTGCGTAATTTTAACTTCCCATCAGGGGTCATTATTACCTTTCTTTCATCGTTATTGATTTTTCCTCAAGTGTTGAAAGGGTGATGCAACAAAAATTTATCGATCAAACGGGTACAGTAGCTTTTACTTCCTTCATAACGCAACAGGACGGCAGATGAAAGAATACGTCAAACCTCGTGTTACAACTACTAGCGTCACAATGATTTTGTCAACCTCGTCCCCTGGGCGTTTTTTCCTGGCTTTTCCCTGGGGAAGCGGTTGTGATTTTGTTTGACATAATTTTCTGCTTAACTTCACCTTCCAGATCCTTTTGTCAAAGACCAGAAAACATGAAACCTGTAGTAAGAGGACACCCTCGGGGAATGCTGTAGTGTCCGCTTAATACAGGGTGTCCGCCTAATACAGGGTTCGATAGATAATGTCATATGAGGTGTCAAATGCCATTCAAATGAACGGTGGAAACGTTTAGAATACTCCCAGAGACTATGACGATATACGTTTGCATTAATTTCTTTATTAAAGAGGACCAATTGATCATAGTACCATAAACATAGATTGCAACTCAAATCTGAAGAAATCAGATGAGCGAAACAAGCTCTATGCAAACAAAACAAAATAGAAAACAATACTGTACTGTGAAACTAATTAAATAAGTTCGTCAAGTAACTTTTTTTAATGTAAAAATCGAAAAATCTGTGGCAATCTTTCGCATTTGCGTGACGAACCCGTAAGAACGTCTGCGTGGGAGGCTAGTGATGAATCAGTATGAAGGCATAACGGGGGGTCTCAATGGGGTTAACCGATAGCCGTAAAACGGCCAAAAATTTAGTCGATAGCCGTAAAAATTGAAAAATTTTAACCGTTAGCCGTAAATAGAGTAAAAAAGAGTTAACCGTAAAAGAAATTGTTCCCTAGATTTGCCACTTTTAAGGGAGGTACAAAACTCCCTTATGCTTGCGTTTTTTATTTCCCGGCTAGTGTGACTCCGTACGTACGTTAGGTGAAGCGCCTTTTAGGTGTTGACCAAGACCTAGGCTCCATTTCCTCCACTCTCTCGGGGAACTAATTTTTTCCATAGCGAAAGTGTAGCTTCTTGCTGGGGATTAATATTTGCGATTTTCAGGAGGTCGTGCCCTCAAAACACTAGTGAAACAACACGCAGAGATGTCACTGTTTGTAAAACACGTAACCGATAAAACAACATTTCCCTGTTTTTGTCTAACGCTACGGTAGACATTGCCGTCCCTGTACGGCGCCTTCCCACGCAATCTCGGTCAAGGCTTTTCGGTGGCGAACTCGCTAGGACCAGGTGACCCGAAACGCATTAGCCGCGCGGAATAATGAGGCCTACGGACAAGGAAACGGCAGACAGTCGTTCCGTACAGTCCTTCGCTATCATTAAAAAAACACCTGAGGGGAGGGGGCGGCTGTACACAGGCTATCTTGAAGCGGATAATCCCGTCTTGAAACTGTCCGTCGAAATTGACGGATAAAGTCAGGCGGATTGTTCATGCAAAATTAAAACTATTCCGTATTCAAATTACGAAGTATTACCTACCTGACGTGAATCATCAAACGGATAACCCGTCTCACACGAGTAATCCGGCTCTAGTATGAAAACGGCCATTTCTGTTATAATGAATGTCGCGCCCCGGCCTTGAGTTGGGCGTTTGCGTGTCCGCTTTTGCTTTTTCACAAAGATTATTTTTAAATTGACTATTGACATTTCTATGTACAAAATAATATTAGAAGTGAAATACTTCATAGAAAGAATGATCTATCAAATATTAAAATTTTTCAAAAGAATAGTTTGTTTCATCCCGAGATGATCTGAAGACCTTATTTGAGGGTCTGGATGGGGTTAACTGACAACTGACAAATGGCCAAAATTTTAACTGATAACTGACAAATACAGTGAAACCTGCATTAAGCATTATTTCCCTTATTTACTTTAAGTGGAACCTTTATTAAGCGGACACCTCTGTTAAGCGGACGCGGACACCTAAAAAGTGCCTGAAATGGTCATTTCTATTGTTAACAACCTGTATTAAACGGACACTTGTAATTAAGTTCCACCACCCAACATGCCAGACACCGGAAATGCGAAAGATTGCCACAAATTTTTCGATTTTTACATTAAAAAAAGTTACTTGACGAACTTATTTAATTAGTTTCACAGTACAGTATTGTTTTCTATTTTGTTTTGTTTGCATAGAGCTTGTTTCGCTCATCTGATTTCTTCAGATTTGAGTTGCAATCTATGTTTATGGTACTATGATCAATTGGTCCTCTTTAATAAAGAAATTAATGCAAACGTATATCGTCATAGTCTCTGGGAGTATTCTAAACGTTTCCACCGTTCATTTGAATGGCATTTGACACCTCATATGACATTATCTATCGAACCCTGTATTAGGCGGATACCCTGTATTAAGCGGACACTACAGCATTCCCCGAGGGTGTCCTCTTACTACAGGTTTCACTGTAGACGAAAATTTAACTGACTACTCAGGGGCACCCCACGAGGATATAGTTCAAAACCACTTAACATAGCATTGTTGAACGTATTTTAGTATTCAAACGGTAGATATAGGCATATTTTTATCCCCTAAAAACTTTTCATCTGTTCGGATTTCCTAGCTGAAAGTCTAGTGATCCGAAAATTATAGGGATAAAAACTTACCTTCTCGAAAATTTCAGCCAAGAAAAGGCTCGCGAAAATTCTAGGTGGCCTTTTTTAGGTTCAAAATCCGTTAAAAATGGGTAATTATACCATTTTGTAGGTGTTCGAAAATCCTAGGAGAGGCAGGCAGGCAAGAAATTTTACAACAAATGCTCCGAAAATTCTAGATCTCAAATCGTCTTCCGAACAGATATTTTCCCGAAAATTGCCGTTGGGTGCCCCTGACTACTGACATTTGCCTGGGTTTTACTGACAACTGACAAAGGACCTGATTGTCAGGCCTTAGTTTCTACAAAAGCCGTTTTTAAGACCTTAAATAGCATTGTTCCACTCTTTCCATCAGACAATGTGATCAAATGTGCGTTTTTAGGGGTAATCTTAGCAGCAAAACGCTTAAGTGTCATATTTCGTCAATGATTTTACTGTAAAACCCATGTGTGTCATGTATCATCTGTTGTAAATGACCTATGATCTCAAATTTACGCTCCTCTGAATGGCTGATCAGAATGAGGGATTTGTGAGTCAGGCGAAAGAAATTGTCCTTGATGCGTGAGATCGTTGTCTTTAGTCCATAGGCGTAAGACTCGCGCATAATGCGTATACAGTATTGTGATGTTATAAATTTTGATCACAGGCAGCCCAAGCTCACGTCACGTGAAAGGATTAGATTAATTATTAGCGGTGTGCGAGCCGGGACGTGACTGTTCAACAAAAGCGGTATTGGGTTACATGGCGGCCGTGAATTTATAAAGGATTTGTATGGGAATCCACGTTATAGATTTAGGAAGATAAATACTCGTAGAAATTCTCAATAAAAAACGTCTTACCTTATTTACATGGTGTGTTCTTGCTTGCTGTGTGGTTATTTTCCCGATCCGGTGCGATTTTAGCGATTTTTTTCATTTCTGAGTTTCCACTACTAGTGGAAACTTACTTAGTTAGTACTTAGTAGTAAGCAAATAAATAACTTGAAAGGTTAAAACCTCTCTTTTTGGTACTAAATGAGTGCTAATTGTCTAACCTGAGCGTGCAAATCTAGACTCTGGTTGATTATCAAACAGCGATATAAATATGGGAAGACAGAATCTTTGTTTGCCAAGTCACACCAAGCCATCACGACCATCATTACACCAGACAAAATACTCAGGACCCAAAATACACGCGTCACCGTGCGTGCTCGCTCCAGAGAAAACCTAGGATGATCTGGCAGGAGCATGGCATCTTTACGACAATATGCCAACAGTGGGAAGACTAAGAAGATCAGAGAGGTACTGGACATGGACAGGAACAGGCATAACTCGCATAATGGTGTGAAGCCTATGATTCCAGCTGTCTCGTGAACTCGATAACAGAAGAGCAGAGGGGTAAACAGACTGCAGACTATGAGATCGGCGATGGCCAAGTTTGTCAGAAGGAACGTGAAGGCTTTATGTGTGGCTTTGTCAGTAACATAAGCATGGATCACGATACCAGTACCGAGCGAACCGAGGATGATAGTAGCGAGATACAAAGGGCAGACGAACACTGTAGTCACGGCGTATTGCTCGTAGAGTTGCATGGTCTGACTGTCAATCCCTGACGCCAAGCGAAGTTGTAGATTCTAAGGATAGATGCAAGTGACAAAAACGAAGGACCAATCAACGCTGCGATATTTCGTGGTTTCTTTCTGTATAACAGCCTGGGTGCCAGAGACTTTTCATGTTCGGTTTCCGGTTTCGATACAGAGCTGGCCCAGTCCTCGGTCAGGAGCCCATGTCAATTGTTTGTACACTGGGGTTGTACGTGATCTTTTACACGATCACAAGTCGCTCTCGAGAACATCCCGGGAGAAGCACGCACTTAAATAAGTGACATGGGAACTGTGTTAAGACGTTAAGGGGTCGTTAAGTCATCGAAAACTTTGGTAGGTAAAATTTAAAAGTCAAATGACACTGGGATATTTGTGCAGTTAGTTAAAAAGCATCTGTATACTCGTGTGTCACGCGATGAGATCTTTGGAGGAATGTGCAAGTGCAGGCCTTGACGCCTACCAGTATAAACAAATTTTTATTGCTGTTGTCATAGTTAATAGAGGGAATGGTTATGAAACCCGACAAAGTTCTTTGTTGTATGTTTTTGTTCTCTTTTTTGGCCTTGACCCTGCACAAAACACAATAGTTGTTTACTCCGTACTGAGGAACTAACCAATAGAAACGTGCTGGTTACGTAATTCATGCATAACGTATGAACGCAAAACAAAAGATTGTGCAGGGTCGTGGACCTTCTAACATAAATCTTGGCATCTTTGTTTGCTCCTTTGATGTTTGCCGGGCTTCATAACCAGTCACCTCCATTAACTATGCTGTTGTTTATTTTATTGTTGCTTTGCTTTCAAATAAGTGACAATGACAATGATAGCTCTTTATGCTAGGCTGCCTAGCTAAACGTTTCGAAGCGCAACATCACCGCTCAGAAAGGAAAGGAGAACCTCCTTCTCGCTCCCGACCCCCTCCCCGAGAAATCCCTGAAGGAAGGAAGTATATGCTTCTTCTTTATTGGGTGGTAGACAGGCCATCGACTGCTCACCAGGCTTAGCCCTAAATAAAACATACTGTCTTCTAACAAATCTAGCAATGTGGCTTGGTTTTTTTATCTTAAGGGAAAAATAATTAAAGCTACTGTACCAAATTTATAATTCATGACAAGTGCTGAAAAAGGCATCAGCCTGTCCATAGGCGTTTTTCTTGTGCGCGAAGGCTAGAATATGTATCTAGATGCACGACAGTCAATGAATCGTCTTCCGGTTTTTAGTGATTTTCTTGTGCACGCTGGACGACCTCTAAAGAGAAACTAGAATGGTCTGCGAACTGGCTAAATACTAAAAAGACCAATTTCACCTGCGAATTCTGGATAACCGAAGTATCACTAAAAAAATATATAATAATTAAATAATTCTGAGGACCAAATTGTATGGTATCACAACAGAGCAGAACAGCATACTAATGCGCACACAACAGGTAGGTTAAATAAAGTACGTACTAAAAATTAGTACGTACTAAAAATTTAAGAATAAGGCCCACTCTCACTTTCAAGTTTGCGGCTTTTCTGAAAACTAAGGGGACGTTAAAAAATTGGGGTGGGGTGTGTCACATGATTCCCGAAAACCCTTTACCTTGTTCGGCCCGAAATATGTGATTAAATTCAGGGTAAGTAAAGAACAATGTAACAAACAAAAAGCAAAAAATCTTTACCCAGTTTCTGAAAGAGGTCAAAAGCCATATTCTTTGGTGCCTGACACACACTGAGCTCAGTTTTCAAAGTTTTGTAAGCTACAGCCGGCTCTTTCGATCCTGGCCGGAATAAAGGCTACTTTAAGTGTTGAAACCTACACGTGATATAAGGTAAAAGTAGCATCTAGCAACCGTAATAAGTTGGTGTTTGCAAGCATTTAACCCTTACGGGTCCGTAAACCCCTTCAAAATAAATCTGTTCAGATGTAGGAAGCTGCTTTTCCTTATTAAACCCTGAAGTGTTGAGAAAAGGTGGACTTTGAAATTTGGCCCGGTGTTCTTGGCCTCAATCATCCAAGCATGTTAAGGGTACACAAAGGTAAGTTCTTTACTTAAAACTGCGTTATAACGAAAACTGATTTATCCTTTCTAGCTGACGAATCTTCCAGGTTTATCTTTAATTTTTGGACGCTGAATAACATGCCTCACCTTTTATTAACGGAAATCGGGCTAACCCGTCGGCAGAGCAAGAACATGAAGTTTAAGGGTAAACAACGTGAAAACTTTTACTTCGTTTCGACACACGCTCCTCGATCGTACTTTTCCTCTGGAGACAAATCAATTCTAATTTTCTTTACCTCTACCAAAATAGCTGTGGAGGGTTCAGCTATAGGGTAAAATCGAGAATATTTCTCAGTTCCACGCTGAGTCAGGAAGTTTTGCTCTGACGTACGCCTTTTTGAAATTGTCCGGTTTAAGAAGATTTCCGGGTCCATATTAAAAACAGTCTTGTGCCATCGAAGAAAACAAATAAATCTTTTATAACGGATTTCCTGTATAGCCCAGGTATAAGACTAGCTTTGAATACTTGGGACCAGCGAATAAACCTGCCCTAATTTGCCTCCGTGCCAATTTTCACCGGCTTGGGAGAGCAAAAAACGTGTAGAAGCCAGAAAAGAAGAAAAGAAAGCCCAGGGGAATGGAATGGTAGGAAAAGAAACAGGTAAAGCAAAGTCAGGCTCTATCAGTACCCGACTTTGCTAGACTACCATAACAGGCCAGAGCCCCGATTTTAGTGCGCGCAGGAGGAGGCCTAATCTCCACAGCAACCACCGCAGATCGGTTTCCAATAACAGACAAGCGTTACTTTCGTAATTAGTTTTAAGCATTCCACCAGACACCTTTCGAGAGCGCCGGACACATTGCCTGTCAAGGAACTTTGTACTTCTGATTAAACGAACCAGACATTTCAAGGAAACGCGAAATTTGATCAGACTATTTGGGATTATAAATTCATTTCACGGTCGAAGTCGATCTTCGCGGCTGGCTTCGCAATTGATAACTACAGTTTTCTCGCCGCATTTGGATTCAAATAGGCTTGATACGCTGTCAGTGGCTTTTCAAGTGCTTTCTTTT